CCAACAATAATGCCTCACCAAACCATTGAAGCATTAGTCCCTGCAGTAGCTCCCAGTAGATCACCAACAGGAAAATATTTAGCTTTGAGCACTTGATAGCATAAAGTGGTCTTGTCCTGCATCATACACCAACTTTGCTTGGCTAACATAGCTAAATTAAAAGCTCTAAAGTCCTGAAATCCAAGCCCGCCAAACCTCTTTAGTCGACAAATTAAATCCTATTGTAACTAGTGGATTCTCCGTTTATCAATGTTATGTCCCCACCAAAAGTTGCTTATGATGTTGCTTAGTGATTGGAGGAAATTTTGCGGAAGCTTGAAACAACCCATGCAATATGTAGGAATAGCTTGCACTACTGCCTTAATCTAAATTTCCCTCCCAGCATGAGATAATAGTTTAGTTTTCCATCCCTTAATTTTTTACGAAACCCTTTCCTAGATAGAGTCAAAGCAAATGGATTTCTTTCACCCAATCATAAGAGGAAGCCCAAGATATTTGTCATCTATTATGACCTGTGATATATTCAAAGTCTGCATGACCTTATGTTGCATAGCAAGGGGAGTATTGCTACTAAAAAAAAAAGGACTTATCAAGATTAATTTGTTGGCTTGAGACTTGTTCATATTCCTTCAAAATTTCTAAAAGCTTTACTGCTTCTCATTTAGAGGCCTCTCCAAACAGCATGCTGTCATTTACAAAAAAACAAATGGGACAAACAAGGACATCCTCTACATAAAGATAATCCTTTTAAATCCCCTCTATTTATAATGCTTGATAAAAAAGCTTATAGTCCTTCTACACATAGAAGAAAAAGGAAAGGGGAAAGAGGATCTCTTTGTCTAATACCCTTGCTAGGGGTGAATTTCTTTGTTGGACAGCCATTAATCAATACTGCATACTTAACAGTTCGAACACACATCATGATACAATTGGTCCACTTATCGAGAAACCCCATAGCTCACATTATATCTTCTAAGAAGTTCCATTTTACTCTATCAAATGCCTTGCTTAAGTCAAGTTTAACAGCCATATCACCTCTTTGACCAACCCTTTTGTGCTTCAGATGATGAATGGCTTCAAAAGCTACCATAACATTATCATAGATTAGCCTTTCAGAACAAAAGCACTATGATTTTTTGAGATGATTTGTGGCAAGATTGATTTAAGTCTATTAGTTAAGACTTTTGAGATAACTTTGTACAGCACATTGCAAAGACTTATGGGCCGAAATTCCTTCACATAAGATGGGCATTTGACTTTCGGGATCAATACAATATGAGTAAGGTTGATATCTTTCTCCATAATCCCATTGTTAAGGAAATCTAAAGCAGTAGCAGTGATATCTTCCTCTATGATGTGCCAGTAATTTTTATAAAAACTAGCATTCATTCCATCTTGTCCTGGGGCTTTTGAAGAATGGATTTGCTAAAGAGCAGTAAGAACTTTAGAACTTGTAAAGTCTTTATCCAAATAGGTTGCCATCGAGGACGAGATTCTACCCTCTAGTGCATGAAGAATTCTTCTATTTGGTCCAAAATATCTAGAGGTGAATAAATCTTTGAAGTATCTGATGCAAATTTCCTCTACTCTTGTTCTGTCTGATACAGAAGTACCATTATCATCCATTAGATCAGCAATATGATTCTTTTTGCGCCTTGCCAAAGCTCTGTTATAGAAGTAAGCTGTATTTCTATCTCCCTCCTTTAGCCATTGTACTCTTGAGTGTTGCTTCCATAAAACCTCTTCCTTGCATTGCCAATCGCTGAGCTCTTTTTCTAAAGCTTCCATTGTCCCCAAACTGTTATCTTGTGCTGAACCATTCCTAATGCTCATAAGTTTCTACTGCAAGTGTTTGATATGTTCAGGGATATTTCCAAATTTAGCTTGGCTCCATTCAGTGAGGAGGGAACCACAAAAAGCAATCTTAGACAAAACTCGGGACATGTTTGTATTGCCCCATCCAACCTTCCATCCTTCCTTGATCTTGTCCTCACATTCTAGTTCCTTCATCCAATAATTCTCAAATTGAAATAACTTAGCAGGTTGATTGCGACATCCCCCATTTGTTTGCTATTACTAAAATAGGAGTGTCACGCCCCAGAACCCAAATCCGAGGCACGACAGACGCCGTGCACTCGTGAGAGGGTCCCACGAATGCACAAGGCTCGGAACTTATTCAAATCACATCTGACCATCCAATAACTCAAATCAATTATCTCAAAATCTCTAGATCAAATCTCTTATAAGCTAACAATCTGCGAAATGAATTTATATCTCAAATCTATATTAATTACAAGTGGCTAGCCTTCTAACTCGTCACTCCCCTTGATTTCCCCGTCTTCGGTTTCGCATCCTGAAATGGTGGACAAGGAAAACTATGAGATAAACTCAGTAAGTAAATATGGATAGCCCTTGGGTAAAACTTTTAACATGCCAGATAAACCATGTAAACATAGCAAAACTTTCACTAATAAACCGTTAATGCGGAAATCAAGTTCAGTTCAATAGCAAAACGTTCAATGACAAAACCGTTACTGCAGAATCAGATTCAGTTCAATAACAAAACATCTCATAACAAACCGTTAATGCTGAAGAAAACTCAGTTCAGTAGTCTCATCTATAAGTCATGGCCAGTGTTATAACAACCCACTGGCAGGCGACAGAAATTTGCCAATGTATTCGCCCAGCGGCAAGCGTCAGAATAAACCGATCATCAGTAAACATGTCGACATGTGCTAGCGTTACACCCACTAGCGGGGATCGGAAGTGTTACACATCCACTAGCGGGGATCGGAAGTGCTAGTGTTACACCCACTAGTGGGGATCAGGAGTGCTACACACCCACTAGCGGGGATCAGGAGTGCCAACGTTACACCCACTAGCGGGGATCGGAAGTGTTACACACCCACTAGCGGGGATCGGAAATCATGACCATATCAGAGACAAAACCATGCAGGATTCACAATCAAAATCCCAAATTTCAAAAATAACCAGAAAATTCCATGTGAACATGGGTTTAACAGAAACCTCAGAATTTGCAAACTCTCAGTTCATCAAAACAATTCAGTCAATTCCAAATGGGCATGCTAAACTCCAGAAAAAAACAATGAAATTCTCATTTTCATTTCAGTCATGCTCAATTTCCAGAAAAACAAGGAAATTCTCATGAAAACCATCACAATTTCCATTTCAGCTAATCACACTCAAGTGCTGGTAAAATCAATTTAAAATCAATTAAAACCTTGCCACCATCTCAAAAACAGTTTAAAACATGCTTTAAAATCGAAGGGCTTTACCATAATTTACTTACCTCACTCGCACAGAACCGAAGGCTAACCCAAGCGCTACGGTGACAGAACGATCAAAACCTAATCACAATATTCCACAATTAATACCGCGCTACCACAAATTCAAAGTAAAATCATCATCGGGACTACCCCTAATCACGGTGCTATTTCTATCAATCTTCACATAACTGGACATCTCCACATTCATTCTTGTATCACAAACTAATCATTTAAATCCCCGTTAATTATTGACCCTCGATGTGTGAACAGTGCCTATGAACAGTACCCGTGAACAGTACCCACGACGTGAACAGTAACTGCAATCCTCCAAAATAATCTCACGGGTTTTCTCCAAAAATCACTACAGGCCAACTCAAGCTAATTTTCTACTTAAACCACACTTAAAAACATAGCTTAAAGCTACCAAAATTCATTCCCAATTTCAACAGAAATTCCAGAACAGTACAAGGGCAAATCAAAGGCAGAAAATTCAAGATTCAAGGCAGCAAATCAACGAACAAATTCGGGGTTGGAGGGCTGTCACATACCAGAATTTAACAAGCAAAACCGCGCCTAGCAGGGGGGAGAAGCCGACGGCAGAGAAGAAGAAATTCTGCAAGGGAACTCGCGGCTACCCAATCCAAAAACCAAAACACAATTCAAGGTAAACCCAAGCCAAATTCAAAGCTAAAGAGATGAATTCATGGCTAAATCTTACCAAAAAAAGCCGAAGGATTCAAACCCAACAGAACCCGACGGACAAGGGAGGAAGAAGCAGAGCAGATCCGGGATTTCTGGGTTGAGAGGGAAGATTCTAAGCCCCAAATCAGTTCTTGAACAAGAAGGAAAGAAGAAATTTCAAGTCTTCTACCGGTTTTCAAAGGAGGAAGAAGTCGGTGGCTTAGGGGGAGCTTCAGGGGGAAGAGTCAGGAAGAAGAAGAAGATGAGGAAGAGCAAAACACGTGGCTGAGGAGAGAAATATCAGCCTTGATCCTTATCCTAATTTCCTTTCTTTTTAGTCCCTTAACTTTTAAAAAGTTTGCGATTAAGCCCCAAAATAATATTTTTCCTCAAATAAGTCCTCAATTTAATGCTAAAATACCCCAAAATTTTGGGATATTACAAGGAGCATGATCAAATTTCAATGCAAGTAAATGATGAGAAAAGGCCTCAAGAAACATGTCCAACCACTCCGAATTCATCAAAACTAGGTCGAGTCTCTCCTTGATCAAATCTCCATGTATCTTTGTCATGAAAGTGAATCGAGGGCCTTTAAAACCCAATTCTTTAAATGTACAATAGTTTAAAGCTTCTGCAAAAGCGTCCATTTGTCTGTAAGGTCTTGGATTACTTCCTTCCTTTTCTGATTGCCTCAAAATTTCATTAAAATCTCCTAAGCATAGCCATGGCAGAGTAGAGGCTGCCTTAAGTGATTTTAAAAGAGTCTAGAATTCTTCCCTGTGGGCAACCTTTAAACGACCATAAAACTTGGTTATCCTTGAACGACGCCCTTCCGAATGAATAATTTCAACATCTATATGGGACTGAGAAGTAGAGGATAGTTATAGCTTAAAATCCTCTGTCCAAAGTAGAGCTAATCCACCCTTTCTACCAACACAGTCAACAGCAAAATAGTGTTCAAACCCGAGATCTATACGAATTAGATTCATCTAAGTGGCCATTCGCTTTATTTCCAAGAGGAAGATGATACTGGGTTTGTGTTGGAAACATACTTCTTCAATTTTGAAATTGCAAAGACCTCTCTAAGGCCATGACAATTCCATGCCAATATGCAATTCTAAGACATGAAGGGAATAGGGAACCAAGACAAGAGCAGAAATCAAAGAGAGGGGGGCCCTTAAAACAGGAAGGAACACCAAGGTGAGGAGCTCGCCCATCGAAGAGGGAGAACCCTAGCAATGATGGCGAGAGAAAATATTTATGGTTTCAATTTTTTTAAAAAAATATATTTATCAATATATTAAATTTATATTCAACGTAACTCAATCATATAAAAAGCATTCAAAAGAGAGCATTAGAGAAAATGTCCCTAGCACTCCTTTGCTGTATGGTATTGTGATTGTAAAAGAAAATACTACATAAAAGTAATGGCCCTCCATGATTTGGTTATCATAATATACTTTATAAAACAATTACAATAATGTCTATTACGTTCAACAATTCAAAACTTAAGTCCTTGAACTTACTTAGGATAAATATTAAGCTCTCAAACATCACAAATAGCTTATTACTACCCCTTTTTTAAAGGAAGGAGGTGTGTTGTGCAAATTTTTAAAATATATTGTTTAGTTGGCAATCTCATTTTAGAAAGTAATTGAAGGACAACTTTTTCATACAATTTTTTTATATAATTTTATATATCATTTAATAATTAATTTTTTTTTTACTTTACTAAAACTTATAATATCATATGCATCAACTCATTTAATGATATGTAAAAATTATAAACAAAAGTTTCACTATTAGAGAATATAAGATTAGCAAGGAAAATTTACTTATGAATTTTACACATATGGATAATGTATACTTTCACCAATGTGGCACAAAATGCTAAGTGGTCAAACAATTAACAAATCCCATTATTGAGTTATCAAAACTTTCTTGCGCTAACCACATAGCTGAAAGTAAAACCACCAACATGGTAAGTGATGCCAAGTTTTTTCGGTATTAAGTGAATTTTTCAACATAAAGCATGCTAATACATACAATAAACATAGATGTGGTAAATGTTGCTATATTTTTATGACAACCAAGTATGTTACAACCTATATCACATCAATGAAACCTTAAAACATAGACACGATATCCATTGGGTTGTCTCCAAAATCTCTCTTTTTGACTACATGATAGATAAGGCTACAAAGGTGTGCCAGTCACTTTGCTCAAACTAAAAAAAAAGGGATTCTTGCTGACCCTCACTACTTCCAAGTGTGGTGCTCAGTTACTAGATGGAAAAGCATTGGTTAAATAAATTATGAGATGCATTATGGTCAGACAATTGTCATAGCAATGGGGGTGCATTCCTAAATAAAACATCATAAATAATTGCCTTGGAAGAACATTAGGGACTTCCCATAACTAGGGTCAAAATGTTAGTTTGCTGACTAAAATAAAAGAAAAAAATAAAGGAAAAGAGAAAAAAGAGAGTACATGGCAGGAAAACTAAATCGCAAAGAGGAAGTGTAATGTCGCCATGAAAACATGTAAGCGTAAAGAATGAAATAGCATAAAACTAAACTTAAAGGAAGCTACGAAGATGAATTTAGAGTAAAGTGTAGTAAATTGAATTGCGGGAAATCAAATACATCAGTGGAGATGTACAAAACAAAATAACAAAGATTAGAGTTAAGACTAGTAGCAGCATAGAGCTAAGGACTAAACTAAGAAAGTCGTTAGAGAAAGTTAGATCTAAACTAACATATTGTTTGTGAAAATTGAAATGTAAATAGCGTTAGGCTAGTTGTGTGAAAGGCAAGTCTCTTTTACTTGATTTCATCATCAGGTATTTATAACACCTTGGCAACATGGTAAAGTTTTGCTGGCAGCATCTTAGAAACCAACAACAACATGAAATTTGTAACAAACTGACTAACTCATTGGTACTATCGATCATGCTCTTACAAGTACACAACCACTGAGCTGCTTTGTTGGCAACAAACATTCACATTGATTCTGGAGAAAAATTAGTCATTAAGTTAGACTCAGTTAATGAGATCACCACATGATAGTTGCTAGTAGTGCATTTTGACTCTTTTAAATTCAGAACAAATAACACATATGCCTCCTTTTAATTAGTTTATAAAAATGGATGTAAGCAAAATGTAATTCAAAATAGTTAACCAACTTCTTTAACTTTCAAACAACAATAAATTCCCAACATATTCCACATTGATGAAAGTTGAAAACATCGATGTGTTAAACATTGCAAGCCAATTCCAAAGAATTAAGTCATAGCCCAACTTTCAACTGCATAGAAATTTTATACTTGCATTATGTTGTAATATTTTCCAAAGAAAAATAATTGATATATCTTTTAATTCAATATACCAGTTATTATCCGCTCATTTAGCCATTGAAATTTGTAGTTTTAAGTTTTCTCGCCTTTAATTCAAATTTAAAAATAATAATTTTTTAATAAATATATTGAATCAAAAAGGGTACCAAACAAAATCCTTTTCCAAAAGCTAATATAAATAGATCATTCTGCATCACTAACCATTTACTTTGACCATGTTTGGTGCAGCTTATGAGAAGGTCTTTTTGGCTTTAAAAGTACCAGCTATACAAAACATCACAGCTTATAAAACTAGCTGTAGCTTCTTAAAAGCTAGTCTTCTCCCATTCCTTTGCAAATTTGGGAAGCACCAGATTGGTGCTTCCGCGACAACTTCTCGCTTTTGTTTTAATGAAATTAAGAATAAATTTGGTGCTTTCGTAGCAACTTCTCACTACCATTTTAATGAAATTAAGATTTTATTCTTATTTTATCCTTACACTTCCTTTTATTTACAAAAAAACCCACACTATATATAAGGTTGCATTTACAATTTCCCATTTCTTTCTTTCTCAAGCAACCCAGAACTGCATTTCTTCTCCCCGTCTTCTTGCCCATCTTCTTCTTAAGCAAATTGGAAAATCCTCACCGTCTAGTCACCTTTTCTACTTTCTCCCTAACTATTTCAAAGCAAAAAAGCAACTCAACCAACAAAAAGGCCAAAATCCCCTTTCTCCTTGTTCTGTGCGTCTCCTTCCTTTTCTCTGATTTTTTTTTATCCTTTTTGGTGTTTCTGCTTCTAATTTGGTGGTGAAGAATGATGACTGTTGGTTGGTAACGTGAGTTGGTGAAAGAGTTAACTGAAAATCCCTTCTCATTCCCTATCTTCTTCCAGATTTGGACCACGTGACATTGCCGACGACCGCCCATACCACCACGAAAATCCCCGTATTCTCTTTAAAAATCCCTAATTGCTGTTACTTACCATGAGACAACCACGAGGAGCTTGAGGATCTAGATATATTTTCCAGTAAGCTACACTTCCTCCCCTCCCCTTTATTTTCTTTGGTTTTTCCCACCCAAAACCCTAATTTGAGTGCTATTTTTCCATTCTTGATTGGTTCTATAGTGAACCCATTGCCACCGGGATCTACAAAGCCATTGCCAGTAAGCTCCCGTTGCTCCCCTTTCTTTTCTTTTTGATTGAAGATTTTTTTGAAGATTTTTGATTGATTATTGTTATTCTTCTACTACTTCCTCATGCCAGATCTCTTTGTGTCCTATACTCTGCCATTGTTTCTGCATTTTTCTTCTGTTTTTAATTTGTTGTTTCCATTTTTGGATAATAAGCTTCATGGGTTTGTGGCAAAGAATTGGTAAATCGTGATGCTTGTGTACTTTGCCTCCTGTTTACAATAACTTTTTCTTCTCTATTGAAATGATTTTTGTTGTGAAGAAAGCTAAGGAAAGGTGGAGAAGAGTAGAATAGAATACTGTGTTTAGGTCGTTGCTAAATCAGTCAAAATCAATTCTGTGCTATTGGATTATCTTCTTCTTCTTATTTTTTTTAAGTAATTTAATTCAGACTGATTAGTGAAAAATACAAAGAAGGGTTGTACGTTGATTAGGATGTTTAAAGATATTTGTCTCTTCGATGAATGGTTTCAGTCATGTAATGGAATTATGGAGCAGATAAGGCTTTAACATAAGAATGTTGAACATTGGTTCTTTGCATTTTTGGTGGTCAGCACTGTGAGCATGGAAAGCATCCTTTGGAGCAGGATGTCCATGGATACTGATTTAGTTTCTGGTTCATGATTGTCTCTCCCACTCTCTTTCTCTCTTTGGTTCATGATTGTCATGTTACAACTTCCAAAATAGAAGTAGGTATATTTTCTACTACTATTGTACTACGACCAACCATTCAGTAAATATAGCTTACTGCCCATTTTCTACTATGCAGCTAGTGTGCATGTCACGCCCCATAACCCAAATCCGGGGACATGACAGACGTCGTGCACTCGTGAGAGGGTCCCATAAATGCACAAGGCTCACAACTTATCCAATTCACATCTGATAATCCAATAACTTGAATCAAATATTTCAAAATAATTCTATGTCCAACATGACTTAAACTCAAAATCTCAAGGTCAAATCTCTTGTAAACTAACAATCCATTAAATGAATTTATAAAATCTCCAATTAAAATCTAGCTTACAAGATCATGGTTTATATCTAAAATCTATATCAAATTTACAAGATGGCTAGCCTTTTAACTCATCATGTGCTAGCGTTTATAAACCTCCCACTAGCAAGCACACGAATAACATAACCATATCGGAGACAAAACCAGGCAAGATTTATAGAAAAATCCATGATTCACAATCACTCCCAATTTCAAGAATAAATTGAAAATTTTCCATGTGGGCATGGATTTAGCAGAAAAATCAGAGTTTACAAAATTCTCAGTTCATCAGGGCAGTTAAATAAACTCTAAGCAGGCATGCTCAAATCAATAAAAAGAATAATAATTTTATTTC